TAAACCAGTTTCAGTTCTTAACAATTCATTCATGGTTTAAGTTTGGTTTGTGGAAATGGTTAATTGTAATCCTAAGTTTTTCAAAAATCAGTCTACCTAATGAACTTTGTTGTAAGAGTAAAGTATTGCATAGACTCATCTATTACAAGTTACTATAATTCTATTTAATTTAAGGAAGATATACCTGTATACAGTAATTGAGAATCTCACAGGATAGCAAATAACCATTGATCTTATTTTAGAAAATACTTACTTGGGTGTTGTGGTTTAACCCAGCTGGCAACTAAGCACCATGCAGCCGCTCGCTCACTCCCCCCCCTCCCTCAGTGGGATGGGGGAGAGAATCGGGAAGAAAATAAAAGGTTAGATCCGAGGGCTGAGATAAAGACAGTTTAATAAGAGAAAATAATAATAATAGTAATAATGAGAATGATAACAGAATATACAGAATATACAAAACAAATGATGCACAATGCAATTGCTCACCACCTGCCGACCGATGCCCAGCCCATCCCGAGCTGCGATCACTCCCCGAGCAGCGAGCAGTCCCCGAGCAGCAAGTAGTCTCCCCGCAACCGACCGACCGACTAACCCCCCCCCCGAGCATGACGTTCTATGGTATGGAATAGCCCTTTGGTCAGTTTGGGTTAGCTGTCCTAGCTGTGCTGTACTCCCAGCTTGTTATGCACCTGGCCGAGCTGGGGAAGCTCAAAAAAGTCCTTGAGTAGTCTGAGCACTACTTGGCAACAGCTGAAAACATCAGTGTGTTATCAACATTCTTCTGGTACTAAATCCAAAACACAGCACTATGCCAGCTTCTATGAAGAAAATTAACTCTATCCCAGCCGAAACCAGGACATTGGGTCAGGAATTAAGCAGAATCTTCAGGGTGTTGCCATGACTTCCAGGTCACTGTCTGGAGGAGGAAGAGATTTTGTAATGTGGCTGTATTTGTGTGGTTGTTTAACCTATGTTTTTCTGCTTTTCATGAAGAAAATCTCTTTTCATCTCTTTACTCAGCTGCACTTTTATTTTCTTTACAGGACTTTTCCACATTTCATGTTCTTCTTTTGCTCAAGCTTAACCATGTTCTTTTAGTTCTCTACATAGTGGTTTTCCACGCTTCACTCTGTCACACTCTTCAGTTTCACAGGGTTTGGATATCAAGGTATCCCATAGACAGATATCCTATATGAATCTACATCTATGACTGCTGCAGATCAACTAACATTAAGGTGAAATAGGTACTGATGAACTGGTGAGGTGGATGTCATGTCTAGCACAGAAAAGGGTGAAAGGTAGAAGTCTCCCATTCTTATTTAAATAGACTCTTGTTAGTCAGTGCTCTATGTGCTTTCACATGGCTGCTGTACAATCAAGCAGTTAAATAATATCAGATAAGAAAAGGTGAACCATTCATTCAAGGGAGCTGTGTGAAGCTGCACATTAGAGCAACTAGTCCTGGCATATAGAATTCATTGAGAATTTAAAGCTTTTACATATTTTTCTACCGTTATCACACTATAAAATTACACATCTATTGCTACTGGGCCCTAAAATTTTAAGGATTATAAATGGCTACAAAAATAAAAGAACTATAGCGGAATCAATATATTAAGTAGATATTTTTGTCATATTGTTTTAACATTTATATATGCGTAGTGTCTAAATGACATCTTAGGGTGAAGATGGCCACATGGGTCCATGTCAAACACTGGAAGATCCTGTCGTACCATATAAAATATTCTTTCTTCATCAGTGGTATCAAGTGGATGAATATGTTGCTAGTCCTGATGTGCAAATTAGTCTTGTGGACAAGAGGAAACATACAGTTCTAGTAAACCCTCTACAATGTACTCATAACCTGTGTAGTTGTCATTGCCTGAATCTTACTTAAGTAGCTGTTGCAGATTTGAAGTTCTAGGCTGGTACTGCCTTGAAGTGTAGCTCCCTAGTGATAAAAGCCCACAGTTTGGATGACACTGGAGAATAAAAGAAGAAAAACTGTGTAGCATTTGCTTTTAATAATGAATGTAAAATTGACGGTCCATTGGCTTACAATATTTCCTTGAACTCACAGCATAGGGTTTTTTGTTTCATCTGGTGCCTCCAGTAAGAGACATATGGAAAATTTTCTTGGTTCTAACACATGAACATTTTTTACCCTCTGCAGTATATGTATGCTTGCTGGAGGCCTCTGCTGCCTGCAACACTTTCTGCTAGCTGAGAGGGTCCACATCTGCTGTATCCATCATGCTCCAGCTGCAATCAGCAAATTAATCTTGTCTTTCTTCTTCATTTTGACCTGGGGACTTCTTAATTGTCTTTCTCTTTTTCTGTTCTGTGAGGCCATTAACTTGGTTTCCTTTGCTCATACTGTTTGTGTTGCTCTGCCTTTTATATCATTCTTTTTGAGTTTTTTTTTCATCCCAACAGCCCTAGTTTCTGACACAACATTCAAGATGAGTCAGATTGACAGTACAGTTAGTATTTAGAGTCACAATAAGGAAGTCTGGGTCACCGGGGGACATACAGATCTTTAAGTTCTTCTGAAGATATTTTGGGCTTTTGAGAGAAAATTCTTGTAGGGAACTCAGTTAACAAAGTATCCACTCAAAATGTTTCAGTATCTTATATCTGACTCTTTAGAGCATAATTACTTTAAAGCCCAGTCAATTTGGGCTTCTGTCTGCAGGACATTCATATCCATACGACTCAAATCACAGACACATACAACTTTGAGTCATTAAATACCAACATACTCTTCAAAAAATGAGTTTAAACATTCTGAGTTATGTGCAAAATACCGCTGCTTACGGAGTAGGAAGCTTAAGCTGCATCTGGGAAAGGATCTGCTGTTGTGATTGGAAACCTGGATGTGCCTCAGAGGGAATTTCAGCTCTGGCAATTGACATTGCCACTGTTGCAGAACAGAGCTCTTAGTAGACCAAAACATAAATCAGATTTTTTGGCCAATTCACTCTGAATACTAAAGGAAGACAAGAAAACATATATGACAATTTTACTTAGCTTGTTTCTTCAGAGAATGGGATGACAGTTAAGTAGGTTTTTTTTCTTTTTTTTCCCCTCCAAGCTCCTTCTAGAAATTATAAAATCAGAAGATTCAGTAACATGAACAAAACGTAATGCTCAAACACATGGAAAGGAATAGAAGAGAACATTTAAATATTAAAATTAAATAGCCTATACCTCACTATGTTTTGTTCCCTGACATCCAATAGCAGAGTCTTCTCATCTAGTTAATATACTCTTGACCCTCAGAGCTTGATGGATTGTTTAGACCTTCTTCCTATTTCCAAGAGACAGGTGTCTGAAGAACAGAGAAAGAGAATATTACCAGTTTGGAAAAACTGACTTAGGTAATTTTTTATGATGTTCTCAAGCCACATAATAAATAAATATTCCAAGTAACACCCTATGGAGGAATAACATAATGTACAGTAATGAAAATGTATTTAAAATACTGAATGATTTTAAATTTCATGTACAGGTAAGAATGGTGACCGGCTCTTAAAAAATTCAAAGCAGCAAGAGTGAGCCATATTCAGTGGATGCATTCTTTGCTTTGCATAAAGTTTAAACAACTTTATTTGCTTTATACAGCCAGATTTTTGAATTGGGTAATAAATTATACTTATAGCTTCATTATAAGGAAGTAATTTTGTGTTTGTTTTCCTTACAAGTCTGTGAATTAGCTGGATAGTTAAGGGTCATTCCATTCCAAAATTCATGTTTCTAAGAATATTCTCTAATTTCTAATATCTTTCTTTTCAGGTTTTTATTTTCTCTAGAAAATTTGACTATAGACTTCTTTGAATTAAGTTCCTCTTATTTTTTGTTCTTAAGCATTTCTGTCTCCTCTTTTTGAACAGAAAAAAGGAAACAGATATTAAGAAATCTAAGGAGAAGGATAAAATATAGCCATCTGAGATTCTGCCATGTCTGATACAGAAGACTGTTGTAAATCAGCAATCAGCTCATAGAGTCTGAGAATGGAAATAAGAAAATGAATGTTTCCTCAGGGATCTCTGCAGGATCCTCTTTCAGCAGATCAGAGGTCAAATGCATTTACAAAACAGCAAGAGAGAAATCTTGCATTGTCACAGTGTGTTCCTGGGGAGTATTCAACTTTATATACTCATTTCTTGCTCACCTGGAAACTCAAATGAAAAAAAAAAAAAAAAATTTAAGTAATTTTGTCTTTGAGCCTAATTAAAGTGCATAGTGAAATGTGGGAAGGAAGACAATGCTCCCTAGTCTCTGGCTGCCTGGCTTATCAACATCCAGCAGCAGACGAAGTAACAAGTTTCAGGAGAAAGCCCAAACTAATGAGAGCTGTAGGTAATACAGAAGCAACATTTTGGCCTGAGAGTATGGGTATTGAAGGCTAAGGTAAACAAGTTAGCAGTCGATTAGGTTAAAACATCCTTTATTCTATAACTGGAAGGGTCACAAGACTCATTTTAATTAAAGACTGCAAAAAGGTTACCGCTTCCACTTCAAAGCATGCTCAGATGTGATGAGTAGGTGACTTTCTGTGTGGTGTCCAAGTTCCAATTTGACATTTTCCTGTGGTACTACAACATGATCTGTTCACCGCTGAGAGCTACCACAATGGTGTCTGTCAGCAAGCTGGTTACCTGGTTTCACTGGTAAATACATGGAGCTTTTATTGTGTATTTGCTTTGGGGAAATTGTCCTCAAAGACATAGTAAGAACAGTAATGTTAGAAAGAGTTTGACAAAAGGGATAGATAAAAACTTTAGTCATAGAGTAAGGCCAACACCTTCTAAATACTGTAGTTACTGGCTGAGAAAAAAAAAAAAATATCATGAACAGCTATAAAATACAAAAAAAATACAATGTCTGTTTTTCTGTCTTTTGCTTGGGATGAAAATAATGATTTGAAAACAATGTCATGTACATTGGCTTTTTTTTTTTCATATTAGACTTTTATTTCTGTTTTTATTGCATTGCAGAAACTCAACTTACTGTATGAAAGTGTCCATTTCGCTGACAGTGGGTGAAAATGACACTGGACTCTGCTACAATTCAAAGATGAAATATTTTGAAAAAGCTGAACTTAGCAAAAGCAAGGAAATCTCATGCCCTGAAATTGAGGATTTTTTATTTCCATTTAGGGAGCCTGAAATTCTGTGGTATAAGGTAAGAAATGCAAAAGATTTTCACCTTCAACAAGATATTACACAATGTTCTGATGATTTTCATGATCTATATATGAAATAAAGCTTGGATTGTTTTAAGATTTGTTAAGAACAGACAACAGAATCAAGGTCAGAGAAGAATGATCTAAGTGAGAGAGAAATATTCAAATGCTTTCTTTAGTAAACTTTAGAGCTGGTGTTTTCTTAATATCCATTTATGGATGTCACAAAAAAATTGGCAGCTTTCTGCTAAGAAGAGGGCTAGAAAAGAAGTGTTACCAGTCTGGGCTGGTTTGATTTGCTAAGGTAAAGCCATGTGAGCTGCTTATACAGCAACTGCTTGTGCTATACCAGGCTAAAGAGTGTGTTTCTAAAAACTCACACATAAAATCTATTTGGAAAAATATAAATAGGCTAGCTATGCATGCTGTCACCTGAATGAATAGCTTAATTTTGCAACATAAAATTCAGCGAAGACTTCCAAAACTTTGGTCTTTACATGTTAGCCTTTACTTGTAAATTTCAGTGATTTCATCATTTTTGTCAATAACTTTATTTCAATATTGTGTTCTGATTTCTAGATCATTACTTAAGGGCCAAGTTCTTGCAAATGGTGCTGCCTGTGGGCAGCTCACTAGAGCTTCCACAAAGAGCATATTGGGTTCTGGGTTTCTTACCATCTGCAGGAAATATGCAATACCTCAGCACTGTAATGCACACAATTTAAAGTTCCCAAAGAGTTCAGTAAATCTGAAATTTATATTCTGTGTATTTATATCTACAGATGTCTGCGTATATAGGAAGTCCTAGTTTAACTATGTGGTATGCATTCTAATTATTTTTTAAAAGTCTGATAATTTATGTGATTACATATATGCTTTTAAATATGGTATACAAGACTATGTTATTTAATAAGTAAAAACTTCTGGCCTAGAAGGATTCTGGCAGAATTAACTGACAGTATGTCTAAGATGGGAGGTGTGTAACCATTTATTTGCTTATACTCATCTTGGATTTTTTGTTTGTAATACAATATATACCTGAAGTTTTATTAAATTTAAAGCTATGTCTGACTTCTTAAACCAGAGCTCAAAAGATTGACTTTTCAAACATCATTGACAATATTTGTGTGAATGAGCTCAAACAACCTCTTTAACATTTTAAAAAAGCCCTTATTGTATAAACAATGATTGTTCTAAGATAATCAAGTAAAATGTTTTGTGACAGTTCATCAAAAGACATTTTTCTTATGAGAAGCACCAATCCCGTTTTCTAATAGCTTGTAAATATACTGGTTTGCAATTAAAAAAATATAGAAAACAAACAAACACTAAAAATAATCAAAGCTATTTCAAATAGTACTTAGGTTAATTAGGTGAAAATAAGTTAATAACTTTAGGGAGCTAAGAAAACATGCATTGAAAAATGCATATTCTCTCTTTTAAAAAGTAAAGTTTAGGAGTAAAGATTGAAATACTAACTCATCTTTGTAGATACAAAAGTCACCTTTTGCTAAGAGTTCAGAGAACTTTGATTCTAAGTTGGTTTTAGAAAGAAATACATAACTGAACTTAATTTCTCCTCATTCTCACCTTCTTCTGTTTCTCTACTTTTTAAATTATAATTTTCTTATGATGATGATGATGATAATAACAATAGGAATAGGAATAAGAGTAAGAAAAAGAATAAGAATAAGAGTAAGAAAAAGAAAAAGAAAAAGAATAAGAATAAGAATAAGAATAAGAATAAGAATAAGAATAAGAATAAGAATCTCCCCTGCAACCTGTAGCTACTGGCAATATAACAGTCATGGATCACAGGTTTAAGTGTAATGACAAATAAGTAAATGAAATAGGAGCCTCTCAGCAAACTAATGTAAAAGAAAACCACCAAAAGACTCAACTCCTTTTCTTGTCAGAGGGCAAATATTAAGTCAGCGGATAAAATTCTATAGTCTCTTTTTTTAATCAATACTTAACTGAACTGGATTTTTAGATATTTAGTGTATGTAAATCTCATAAGTGGCATAAGATCTTGTCTAGTCTTCTTGGATTTCAGAAGCATTGTCAACAGTGGTCTCTTTTAAGTGTAAGAACATAGTCACTGAAGCATTATATTATCTTTAAACAGGAATGCAAGTCAAAGACGTGGAGATCAAGTATTGTGTTTAAAAAGGACACTCTTGTCATTCGGGAAGTTAGAGAGGATGACATTGGAAATTACACTTGTGAGTTAAAATATGGATTCTTTATTGTCAGAAGAACTACGGAATTAACAGTTACAGGTAATTACAGGCTCTTACTATCTCTTATATTTAGAAAAAAATTGAATATTTTGACTTGAGTCATGAGTATTTGTGCCTAGATATGAACAGTTGATACATCAAAGCTGTCCTGAATACTTCATAGTAATATGTGTAACATTTTTAACAGGTCTGAGTTTTGGTCTGTTGCAAAAGCTTGTGGGTAGGTCTTGTTTTTGAATGGAAAAGGTGGACAAGGAAGAGGTGGCTTCAGCAAGCACTACCTCTACTAGAAAATAAGATCATTAAGTCTGTCATACTTCTTCATGTGGTTAAATGCCTTGGGACATAGGAATACCTGTAACTACAACCCAATAACAGTAGCTCCAGCCCAGTGAGACTATTGCTACTGGGTGATAGGTAAGGGGTAGTGTTCAAATAGAGCATGGCTGAAGCACGGTAGCATTCTTCCCCTGGTATTCTCTTCCAGCTTTCTGTAGCTTATAGTTCAAGAACTTCTTGATCTCAGTCATCATGTGCTGTGGTTACCAATTAACCTATTTTCCATTAGTCTGATTATTTTTTTATTCCATTTATTCTTGGCTTCAAAAATGTTTTGAAGTATCGTGTTCCACAGAGTAATTGTGTAACATAAAAACACTCTATAATATAGCAAACAGCAATTGAAGAAGATGCATTTAATATAATCAACCTGCATTTAAAACTACTATATCAATATGTAAAATCCATCATAGATGAAAACAAAATATATACCATAATAGTAATGTACACAGCAGCAGAACAGTATGAAGACTGGTCCATTAAATTTTCAGTTCCTAACCAGACCTCTAATCTCTGTCTTACAAACTTGTAAAAATTATAGCTGAACATACACCTAAGCTAGAAAATTAGCCTCTAGAATTATGACATTGGAAGTCAGGAGTACATCACGATCTATGTAATGTAGTGTAGTTCCACAGTATATTCCCTAAAAGAAGGCAGAAACAAGATTTTCCTGGCATACCGGCGGTGGATTAGATTCATACATTTGACAATGATGTTTGCATATATAAATTCTTGCATAT